AATCTTGGTGGGGGCGCAGGGGCGGCCGCCGCGGGCGGGCGGCGGCGGTTCGGGGCGCCGGGAGAGGTTCCATGGCGCGGCGCAGCTCCCGGGGCGGCGGCACTAGCGGCAGAGGCGGCGCGGCGCTGTTGTGACAGCGGCTGGGACTGGCCTTCCTCCAGCCCCGCTCCCGAGCGGGGGCCCCGCGCCGGTGTCCCAGGGGCGCGGCGGCGGCGCTCACAGAGAGGAGCCGTGGCGGCGGCGGCAGCGGCGGCCGGGGGCAGCCCGCGTGTCACCGCCTCTATGATGAAATTCAAGCCGAACCAGACGCGGACGTACGACCGGGAGGGCTACAAGAAGCGGGCGGCGTGCCTGTGCTTCCGCAGCGAGCGGGAGGACGAGGTGAGCCCGCCGAGCACGTGGGGCGGGGGGCGCCCGGCCCAGCCCGGCCGAGGTTCGCGTTCCGCCGGCCCCGCCGCTGCCGCATCCCTTTGTCTGGCCGCGGGGCGCGGGCGCCTCCCGGGGGACGCCCCCAGCGCGCACGGCCGTGCCGGGGCTCCCGCCACGCCGAGAGCCGGCAGGGGCGGCACGGCGGGGCTGCGCGGGGTCCGGCCGGCCGGGGCCGGTGGCGGGGGGGCCCCCGGGCTGTGCCGGTCCGAGCGGGGCCGGGGGCGGGGCGGGTGCGCCTCTCGCCCACCATCTTGGGGCGGCGGGGTGCGCGCCCACGTGCGCGGCGCCGCCTTTGTGCGCGGCCCCGGCGCCCCTCGGCGGGGACGGGGAGAGCAGGGAGGGGGAGACCGAGCTCTCCGGGCGGGGCGGGATGGGCCGGGACACCGGCTGGAACGCCGGGGTTATCTTCTGTGTACCCGTGACACGCGGAAAACCGGTTAATGTATAATGGCGCGTGGAGGGCAGGGCTGGTGTGTCATCCTGAAGGCGAACCTCCTGCCCCGCTTGGGTGCGATAAGAAAGCCTGTGCTTGGAACACCTGGTTTTCCCACTGAAAGAGTAAAAAGGGGCTTAGAAGTATTTTGTGAACGAGCTCGGGAGCGGAAGAGTTGTTGCTGCGGCTCTGGTTGTAGCGGGTAGCGCTCCCCCGGAATTTCGTGTTGCAGCAGAGTCGGGAGGTGGCAACAAAGTTGTCCCGTGTTCCGAGCCAAGGTCAATGGCACTGCCCGTTATCTGGGAACTCGGCTGATGGTTTCATTGCACAATGCCTTTTCAGATGTCTCGGGCTGGAAGCGTACCCTTTTGCGATTTCTGTTTTCATTTTCTTGTCTAGTAGCCATGAAAAAACTATAAAGGTTTTGGGTTTTTTCCTGCCTGTATCTATATGCTGGAAGATGCTGGTGTCCTTCCCGAGCTGTCAGTACAACGAATGTCTTCCTTAAGCATCTACTAAGTCAGTATAATGCAGTGGGAAGAGGCCTGATCTCAACATACAGGCACTTGGGTTTAAGCAAAAAAATTATTTCCTTTGTGATATAAATACAACCTTGGGAGCATGCTGATGAATTTTTATTAGTATGAGGGAGAAAGGCACCCAGCAGGAATCTTGCAAGGTCTTGTTATGGGTTACAGCTTTTCTTTAGTCTCTGACACTCCAACATACATCACCATTTATGAGACTTTAATATTAATTTTTGGATGCTACTCCAGCTCAGACTTATTTGGAATTGGAACACCTGAGCTGCTGTTACAGCTTTTTGCACCAATTGTAGCTGGAAATTAATGGTTAGGGTCACCTTTGTCTGTGATTTCTGTTCATTCTTCATTTCCTGATACAACTTCTTGTCATTTTCTTTCAGTCTTGCATCCAATGAGATCACTGGCTGCTTCAGAATATTGCTTGTGTATAATAAAATCCTTTGAGGGTAAGGATGATAGCAGCAGCTTTGCTGGGCTGTGTAAGAAATACACAATATATAATACCCATACTGACCATTATTGCACTGCAGTTCCTTGTGTACTCTGGATGGAGTACTTGTATTGGTGGCATGAGGCTGGGCCTTGGCATCAGTGCAGGTAGACATACTTGAGGATGAAGTGAATGGGAGAACATCAGATCAGATTTAGGACATAGATTATGTGTGTGGAAACAGTTAAAATTGCTTACTGACAAGTTATTTCCAGGGAAGCAGTGCCAACAGCTTGAACTTGCTTAGGAGCTGTATCCCAAGTGCCGGCTTCCTCTGTATCAGTACAGAATCTATTCCTTAGAAGTTTGATGCTTGAAGTTTTCAGCCAAGCTACATCTCCAGGGTGTTTAAGTGTGGGGTAACTTCTGGAGGAAAGAAACACTAACTTCAGTCACCAGCCATGTTCCCCAAACTGGGTGTTTGAGGCTTGCTTCTGTCTTCTTGAACACTGTTGTCCAGGTAGTTTCTGTGTTGGTCCATTCCATGTAAATGTCTTCAGTGTTTCTTTTCTAAGTCTCTAGAGAATGCACCATCAATTTTCAGCCAAGCTATATCTCCAGGGTGTTTAAGTGTGGGGTAACTTCTGGAGGAAAGAAACACAAGGGTGGTACCTCAGTGGGTGGAGAAGAAGGGAACAGGAGACTCCTGCAGAAGTTGTTGGGAGGTGGGGGTGGAGGGGAACTACAGGATAGAATAGTTTTCATAGTTATTTTGACTTACAGGATAAGCAAAGAGTTGCTTGACACTGGAGTTGAGAAAATAGAACCAACAACTGAAAACAACTTTTAGCAATGCATTTCTTCTTAGGAGTCTTAAAAGCAAGAAATCCAAATCTCAACTTTTTTTTTTTTTAATGGAGATACTGTCTGCAAGACTAGATTTGGTCTATTTTTCATCTGATTAGGTTCTATCTGGAGGAATGAGTACCTACAGCAATCTTGTGATACAAATCTTAGAATTACCCTTTCTTTCTACTTCCATTCTGACTGTCCAAAAGGCTTGTCCCTAGCCATTTACAGCTGAGCTTAAGCTTTTTTTCTCCTTTCTTGCACTTAGTTTTCTGATATATTTGTAGAGAGCAGTCATTCCTTTCTTAGCATTTTTTATAAACTTTAAGTCTTAAATCATCTTCTCTTGAAAACAATTTTCTCTTTTGGTCATCATGGTAGCTCTTACATATCCTTCCATTTGGCAAATGTATTTTTTAACGTGGGTGACACTTGTGGGTGCTGTAGATAGGATCATGCTGTGCTGTGTAAAAAGTTACTAACACTTCTCTAGCTATACCAGTAAAAATGTTGTGATAGGACCCATGTCTACCATGACTGTAAAGCTGTTGTGTAGTCATCTTGTGTTTTCTGGTGGTATCTAAGTCTCTTACTTGTTGCCACCTCATGAACTCTGAACTTGTACCAGAAATTCACGGCAGTGTTCTTACCTGAAGGTGATCCTTCTTCTGTGACTTCATGTGATGTCCCCTGTTGATATCATGACTTCTGGATGCTGCCTCTTGACTAAACACTTAGGCATGTTCAGTAACAGCTTTTTGTGCCCTTTGGCAAAAATTGGGCAAGTCACTAAAATATTTAATATCTTTACTTTCATCTAGCAAAATCTGCTTGTTATGGCTTCCTAGTCGATTTCTCATCCAATCCACTTCCAAAAGAAGTGGATCCAATCCACTTCTTTTGCTGCCTGTGCAGCCTCGTTGATGTTACAGCTGAGTTTTATACACAGTGAAGTAACATACCAATGGAAAAAGACTGGTCAAACCCATCCCTTACACTTCATTATACATCTGTTTATTTTGTTATTATTATTATTATTACACAACTGTTTACATTGAGTTAGTTTGCTTCTTTATTTCTCAACTTGAAACATAAGTGTGCTGTAGAATACTGCTGAGGTGAAATTCAGCCTGGTGGTTCCTGCATGCGGTTTGAAATGCAGACACCAAACTCCTACTGCCCAGCTCCAGCACCCTGTCCAGTTAGACTTACTGCTGGGCTTGCCACTCCTGCTGCCAGGCTTAAAATTGTTGAGTCAGTTCTCCTGAGTGTTACAGGCTGCAAACTGGGCTTCCCTGCAGCCAGCCCTGCAACCTGTCCAAAGCTGCTGCTTTGAGAGCTGATACTGCAGCTGAAAACCTGTACCCCAGATGACTGCTGGTTGTTCAGCTGCACCGCTCTGAAAATCTGTGTTTCTTCATCTTCAAGTGCCTCCACACAGTACAATTTAGTGCTATACAGCCCATTTTGGTTTAGATTTTGTTTCCTTCATGCTGTCATGATGTATGATTTAAAAAGAAAAATCCTTTAAAGAGGAGGAAACCCAAATAGCCAAGTAAAGCGTTCAGTAGCTTTTGGGTGTTAAAGGAGCTCGTCTCTTAGATACTGTCATTAAAGTGTTGCCTGTTTTGGTCTTACTGCTGTCATTTGGGTTGAAGAGAGAGTAAGACAGCTGGATATGAGCTGAAGTGCTGGTTCCTTTTGTTCTGTAAGGAAATAAAACAGTAATTGCAGGGACTCTTTGGCCTTTGAAAGAAAAACCATCCTGGAAATGAAGCAGGAGAAATTCCATTTAAAAAATGAAACAAGGCTGTGTGGGCATGCAGTGCGTGGAGGGGTGCAGCTTTTTGCTTTGAGCAAACAAG